TCTTGAGGCCACCCGGAAGGATGTGCTTTTGTATTTCGGACTGCCATTGGTGGAGTAAGTTTCGCGGTACGACAATTATGGTGGCTGATGAGAGCACCAATTGACGTGTTGGGGGTATTCGGGTATTCCTGTTCATGCGTGGGATGTCTGGTGGTATCTCGTAGAATGGAACATCTCGACCCAGCGCATCTTTGATGCTTGTCATATCTCCAGCCCCGTTCGCCTCAGACTGCTCGAGGAAGGATTTCATCGGGATTGAATGTCGGCCAGCGGAGGAAATCGCCATGTCTGCCAACGATCCAGGTCGCTTGCGAAGAGGAGGTAATGGTCGGTATGCGACTGGAATCTTTGGAAGATGGCCCTTACTTGCCAAAACAACGGCCAAGCAAATTACCGTTTTCCCCAGGCCCATGGTCTCTGCCAGAATACCACCCCGGTTCATTTCGTAGTAGCGCGGTTCTTGTAGAAATGATCCATCTCTAGGCCCGTAGTAAAATTCCTTGCCATCAGGCGAGGTACGAACCTCCAATCTTGGATCAAGCTGCAGCTGTGGCGAAGCTTCCCGTTGCAGCATCAAGCTCGCCGACCGTGTCTGATACGCGTATAATCTGGTCTTGAGCCCCGGTAGAGCCTGTTCACCATGCTCCGACCATTCTGAGACTGCCGCAGAATCTAGTACGTCTTGTACGGCGGCACGTGTATAGCGACACTTGATCTTCCCCACGTCGGGCGCAGGCGATGGTAGCTTGTTGAAAAGGTAGTATAACGAGAAAGGTTCTACATGAGCCCAGGGATCAAAGTAACGCGTCTCATCAGGATTTGAGTCTCCATTCCAAGCACTCGGTGAGATGTCAATTTGTTGGAGCAGTGTCCGCAGAGCGTTCTTCAAGCTCTTGCTGTTACGGTCAATCGTACGACGAGCCCAGTCTTCTGGCAAAAGATAGACGCGAAGAAGGACGTGGTGAGACGCATTACCAGGCGTTTCTCTACGCGCGAATATTCGAATCCATTGAGCTTCAAGCAGTCGTGATGCTTCAATACCGATGCTGGCCTTGATCTCGTCGGGAAGCTCTTGTTGCAGTAACTCGACCCAACCACCACTCGATGGTGAGATTGAACTAAAGTCGAATGCGTGCTTGAAGTGAAGGCAGCCAAGTGCGATGTAGCGATCCATATTCTGTGCACCAGTCTCAACACACTCCACGTTTTCGGGAGCTGGTAAGGAACCTGGGGTGGCGAGCGTAGATGATCCGGTAGCAGCAGAGGCTCGCGCTGAAGATGAAGATATAGGTATAGCATCGTCACGGTCGTTCATTTGCTGATCAGTTGCATTGTCCATGTTCTTGCGTGCGGCTCGATGATCATAGCTGCTGCTAGTCGCGCCACATGACGTGGGCGACGTGATTGTTGTAAGCCCGACCATCATAAGCGTTCGTTGTCATCAAATCCAGTGGGTACGATCGTACAGCCCGAGCACTGCGGGACAAAAGTTTGGGTCGATAATGGTAGGTGGTTGCAGGTGAGGCGGGAGGCGACTGCCTAGATGCCAAGTAAATGACCTTCGCGTTCCGCGCTAACCCGAAGCGTTAGCGCGTCCCTCCAGTATCGAGGTCGCGTTTTGGCTTCTTCAATCCGGGCAATGTTCAGATAGTACCGAATGCACAATCATATGCCTATCTCGGTGGTTCCTTTCGACGGATGTAGAACGACAGGGATGCAGATGCGTTATATCCGGTGGGAAACATTTCTACGCGTGACGCGACTGTAATTAATCTGCTATATTGCAGACTGGGGTCACGTAATGCGAAGATGCGACCACATATAAAGAGACCTAGGGACTGAATCGAGTTCCAGTCTTGCATATTGGAGTGTCAGATTCTTCTTCGCGATGTTGTCGTTCTTCGCTCAAATCTTGTTGATAGCATCGGGCGCACTCGCTGCGCCGGTTGAGAATGCTCAGAGTGCCGCAGCAACTGTAGGCAAGATACGTGGCGTTCGGGACCCAATTTACCATCTATACTTGCAAGCAAGCGATAAGAATAGTACGCTGATTTCCTTCTCTTGACATTCAGCTTTACTATTTTTCCAGAAACTTGTTAATAACACGTGTAGCATCGATCCCTGTTCTGGGACCCGAAACCGCAGCTGACGAATTCACCATCGGCGGCACCATCCAATCGAAAAAGACAAGCCAGTATCTGAACATTGCGACCGCATCGACAAGCTACAAGCCATTGGTCTGGGGAGCCACAGGGGAGACTACGGCGTGGGGATTGGAGGGTGATACTATCATTACTGTGCAGAGCAGTAGCTATGGACGACGTAAGTACTCAGGAAGGAGGCATGTTCGGCTCATTGTCGGCGGTACTAAAATGCGGCCTAGAGCTGAACTTCCTCGTATGCAAATCGGCTGAAGCGAGTTACTACGATTTGTACTTGCAGACGGGGAGCGATACGCCGAGTGGAAGGACATGCAGCAATTACCAGACGATCCATCTACCGTGTCTGTGTTAGAGGTTACGAAGGGTGGCCGATGGCTGTGTATGCAAGTTGCTAGGGATGACAACCGCGCCGTAGAAAATCATGGAGTCAATGGAAAGTTTGTCAAGGCTCGGTTCAATCAGTAATCAAGAATGCTGAGCTGGTTCATGCAGGTGTGGTGTAGTGAACATCCGCAGGCAGACAGCGAAATCGAGAGAGCGTGGCCGCGGCAGTGTTAGCCCTATCCGGAATAGCGTCTTTGGTGCCGCACGATGCCCGCAGGAGGCCGGGACATCTGGATCCACCGATGATTAGTGACGTATCGACCTCGTTAACTCCGAACAGCGAAGCTCTTTGGATGATGATTAATGGGACATGTGGGGAAGACACGTTAAGATATCACGATCCCCTCTTCCTTCCACCAAACACCGATCAATTGAAGCACACGAACAATCATGTCATACAGCAGAGTAGGAGTCGTCACCGGCGCGAACAAGGTACCTACACACGACCACAGCCTCTTCGGGAGTACCAAACTAACATTGACAGGGCATCGGACGCGCCATCGTGCAGCAGCTCGCCCTGCAATACCCCAAGTCGCCGCTCAACAACGGACCCTTTCTGATTTATCTGACGGCTCGCGACCAGGGCAGAGGAGAAGCTGCCGTTAAGGATTTGGAGCAAGATGCGGCATTGAAGCAGGCCAAGGCATTGAAGGCCGACGGTGGCCTCTCTGAGATCAAGTTCCATCTGCTTGACATCACAAGCAGTAGCAGCATCAAGACTCTTGCGGACCACTTGAAGCAAGCGCATGGGGACGGCATTGACTTTGTCATCAACAACGCTGGTATCGCGTTGGACGGCTTCAGTAAGTATCTCCTTCCAATGTACAGTCCGCCGTCCCTAACATAATCAGATGCCGACCTGGTCAAAACAACCCTCGACTGCAACTACTACAAGACGCTCGAGGCGTGCCACACCTTCCTCCCCCTCCTCAAGCCCACCGGTCGCATCGTGAACCTCGGCAGCATGGCTGGCAAGCTCAACAAATACTCCGAAGAAGTTCGCAACCGCTTCCTCGCTTCCAAGACCGAAGAAGATGTCACAAGCATCATGAAGGACTTTGTTGCTGCTGTCGAAGCTGGCAAGGAGAAGGACGCCGGCTTCCCTAGTGCCGGGTATGCTGTGAGCAAGGCAGGATTGATTGGAGGCACACGGGCGCTGGCCAGACAAAAGAAGGAGAAGGGAAGCAAGGTGTTGATCAATACCTGCTGCCCAGGTTATGTTAACACGGACATGACGAAGGGTAAGCAAAACATCTTCTTGTTTGCGCATGTGAGGCATGTACTGACTCTATACACCAAATGTAGGCAACGGAACGAGGACTGTAGAAGAAGGCGCCCAAACCCCCGTAATGCTCGCGATTCACGACATCCAGAACAAGACAGGTGCTTTCTGGCAGTACGAGAAGGAGATCGACTGGGTTGGTTAGAAGTACAAAGGAACAAAATAAAATGTATACTCTTCGATTGGTCTCAATGGTGGTCTAACTCGTGTTTGTGACTAACGAGTTACGCGCTGACATGCAGACCATGCAGGTCAGAATCCTTTTTCGATACATGGTACGCGCCACCGAAGACGCCCGTTCACGTACGTACCTTGTAATAGAGCGCCCGCATATGATCAGAAGGCGAGATCTTACATCTGCCTCCACACGTCACATATCACACCGCATGTAAACGCCGAGATCCGTTTCACATAAATACTGCGTCTATGCAAACAAGTTCTCCATTCCAAGAAAGTCCACCTTCCCCGTAGTCGCCTAGGAACTAGAAAAGCCAATCTTTGCGAGGTTCCTCCGCTTGCAACCTTTTCAACATGCACCTGAATACTTTTACGCTCCTTTTAGCTCTCGCCATCTCCGCAAGTGCGGCGCCCACTGCATCCGGGCCTCCCATTTGCGGCACCATCTACCTACAAGACGGCAAGACTCAGGTCATCTATGGTGATGCTTGCTATGGGATCACGGGCAAAGCGCTGTCAGCAACGGTGTCTGAGGCGTGTGGATGCGATTTCTCGCAGTAAGTCTTGTCGCATAGGAGACATCGTGAAGTAGATTGGGCTAACGGGAGTGCAGGTGGGATACATGCGATGCGGGAAAGTTGAAGGCGAGAAGTATCACTGGGGTGCCGATTACGGAGGCAAAGGGGTATTGGTGTAATTTGCATTAAGATGAAGCGTGTGGTGCAGAGAGAGGAGTTTTCCCTTCAACTGCACTTCTTTGGTGAATTCGTAGCTTTGATGTACAGGATTCTCATACCCATAGGCCTGATTGCATACTGCATCTCTTGTGTAGTATCATGACCACGAAACTGGAATACTGCAACCACCCCCAGCGTTCGGGCCAACGCAGAGATTTAACCCCCAAAACACCAACTCCTTCGCAATTTCTCATATCGTGTCAGATCTGATTCTCGAAGCCAATGAATGTTCCCGTCCACATTCAACAAGCTGTGCATCTAGCGGCTGGTGTCTTCGTTACTGAGGATATGGGAGAGTGACGACCATTGTTTCTGGAGCTGCTCAAGCTTTTCCTGAGCGTCGTTGTTTTTCTGGGCCTTCTCTTTCTCGATCGCCAGTTCGATTACCAGCTGCTCATTTGTGCGCTTTTGTGCATTCAATGCGCGGAAATCTTCACGCCACCAGCGCGAGTACTTGTCATGGTTGCTCTTTACCTCAGCCAGCTGACTCTTAGTTGTGTCCAGCTCGGTCTCGGTCGCATCCAGTTTATAGTTGGCCGCGATCAGTGCGTCCTTAGTTCTCTCAAGGCTTTCCTTGGTTTGTTCATATTCTTGCAGCATATCCTCGAACATGGTGTGCAACTTTGTCTGTGCGCTATGGGAAGTATGGAGCTGTTGCTTCTATGGAGTCACGTCAGTCATCTCACTCGGCGGTCATTGTTCTCGTAGGAATGCGTACCGCTACTCGCAGGCGATCGACTGGCGTAGTCGCAATCCGGCTTTGAGCGGTGCCGGAGACGTCATCTCGGGTTTGTTTCATTCGTGCCATATTGGTATCGTGAAGTCGTATCAGGTCTCTGTGAGATAGCTCGATTTGCAACGTAGTCGTAGGAGTATGAGGCTGAAGATTCAGATGCGGAAGAGAATCGTGTTATATTGTGCTTGGGTAGCACTAGACAGGTAAAGCTGGCTGCCGCCTGAGGAAACGCAGGTGAAGGCGGCGACAACACACCGCAGGTCACTGGTTGGACATGCGCTGGGTGCCGAGAGGACGGATCGGTCAAGTGAAGGTGAAGGTGATCCGACATGTCGTAGATTGACGTAGCGATGAGAGATCACAGTCTACAGATGTATGGCACACGTCGAACAAGACGCGCACATAATCTGTTACAGACTTCCGATTTACATCACGAGATCAAGACGTGAGTACAGAAACACCAATGCAGTGTGTGTAAGAGACGATCATTAGGGTCCTTAGCAACGTGATGCTTCCAAAGGTCAACGCGAAGGCGGACGGATCGCAGTGTGGAAATCCTTCGCAAGCCAGATGTAACGGCAGATCTGATTATGTAGGCGTATAATTTGTTGTCTACCTGGCCAGTACTTGCAACAAAGCGGCACGTCTGTGCTTAAAGCATTGCGACAAGATCGTGGTGGTGACAGGAAGTCCGTACGAGAAGGCCGATCGAGTGCCCAGGTGTCTGGGGCGCGCTAGCCTTATTAGCACTTTCCCACTGCCACAGAAACTCACGATGCCTCAAGCCCGTCACAGCGCTCGTCCATCTGGAATGCCTTCGCATCATACGCGAGAATTCATTGCATCGCTCATGGCCAGTATTGCGAGTCGCCGGGACTATAGCCGAAGGACTGTCAGAGGGCGAGTCATGGCGGATGACGCTGCGGGGAAAGAATTCGTCAGGCACCTGGTGGATATTGTTCTCCGCATCAGCATCTTGAGCCCAGGCTATTCCAAGCAGCAGGTACTTGCATGCAGCAGCATGGCTGGCTCATCCAATGATAGTATACTAAGATGATGCGGGCTGGTTCCGATGTGGTAGTGTTCTAGATACATATACCAGGTTTGGCCTTCACGCGTCGCGTTATTGCTTTTGCGAGCCTTTCATTGCGCATACACCTGAAACCCTTATATCGACGTACAACTTATACATAGATCATGGGCAATCACGCGCTGATTTATGGCGCTTCTGGAATCTCAGGATGGGCGATCGTTAATGCCATCTTGAATGGATATCCTTCCAAAGATGCCTTCTCTCGAGTCACAGCTATGGTTAATCGGCCACTCACACGGGAGATGGCTCTCTGGCCTGACGACCCAAGACTTCAAATCGTGTCTGGTGTCGATCTAGTCAAAGGTACACAAGAAGAGCTGGAGAAGCAGATCAAAGAAAAGGTCAAAGATGTTGAAACCGTGACGCAAGTGTACTTCTATTGTAAGTAACAACGTTCAGGAGAAATCGCAGGGTCTGACATGACGAAGCATATAAGCAGATCGACGAACCCGAGGCCGAGTGCAAGACCAATGAGGCGATGTTGGAGCGCGCCGTGACTGCGATCGATCATCTGTCCTCCAAGCTATCATACGTACTGCTTCCGACGGGAACCAAGATCTACGGTTGCCAGATGTTGGATAAGTTCCCATTCGCAAACGACCTACCACTCAAGGAGACACTGCCACCCATCCCGGAACCATACCTTTCCCAGCTTTTCTACTACAACCAGATCGACTGCTTGAAACGCATCTCCAAAGGAAAGAACTGGAGCTGGTGCGAAGTTCGGCCAGACAACATCATTGGTTTCGTACCAAACAACAACGCGTATTGCCTTGCGCAAACACTGGCATTGTACCTCTCGCTATATCGATCTGTTGAGGGCGAAGGCGCAAAGTGCCCATTCCCTGGTACTGAGAAGTCGTGGGTGAACAAGTACAATGAATCCCCACAAGACATGGTTGCGCACTTTTCCATCCACGCTTCTTTAAACCCGGAGAAGACCGCATCGCAGAGCTTCAATGTGGGTGGTCAAGAGGATAGCTGGAGTGGCAAGTGGCCGGTAATCTGTGATTACTTCGGTCTGAAGGGTACCGGACCTGAAGAGGGTTCACCACAGCCAGGCGCGTACATTGACGCGCACAAGAAGGAGTGGGAGGAGCTGGAGAAGAAGCACAATCTTAAGAAGGGAAGCGTCGATAGCGATATCACGCACCCCGGATTCCAGGTATGTCAAATATCTGGTTGCGCCGTGTTCGCATGCAATAGCTGACCAGTATTAGTACTTCATCATGACGATGTTCGACTTCGACCGCCGAATGAGCATGGAAGCTTCGCACAAGGTCGGATACACGGAGGAGATTGGGACGAAGGAAACGTGGACGACTGCATTCGATCGCATGAGGAAAGCGAAAGTGATACCCTGATGCCGTGAAGGAAACCTTGGAAGAGCGTGCTGTGAGTGTTTAGGGGACCTTAAGGGTCCGGCAAGTGGGCCTTCCAAGCTCGTGGCTGCCTGGGCCCCCGCGCCATCTCCATTGGCGAGCACGACCCAGAGTTTCAATATATTCCTGTTTGATATGCGCGACTCTCAGCCAAAGTCTCACTGCTTATAAATAGCGCAAGGTCGGTCAATTGCTAGAGCTATGACGCTAGCCGTCGGTCTCATTTGGAGTCCTGTTTGCTGCGCCCCCACAATGCCATTGAAGCAGCACCATCTAGGCGACTGATGAACAGTCTCGATATCCTCCGATGCTCCCATCTGCGGGAGGTCCGCGAAACAAGGTGGTTTTGAAGGGCCTGGGCGTAGTGGCCTTTTTCTGCATAGGTGCGTCGCGTCACCGTTCCAAGGTTCCGGGCGCGTTAGACTCAACTACAGTTGTCGCATTGGCACTCCAAGATGCTGCCCATGTTGGACACCTGGGTCTTCATTGTATGGTGCTAACATCTCCATAGTAATTCTGCTGCTGATGTCAAGGTTCCCCCACAAACGACCGGGCGCGAACCTCAACCTCCCACTACGCATACTCCCGCTCGGCGACTCGATAACTTGGGGTGGCCAGCCGGGTGCAGACAACGGGACAGATGGATACCGCGCACAACTGATCCACGCGCTTATACGTGCGCGCTACGCGTCGGTGAACTTTGTCGGCACGCAGCGCTCTGGACTCATGCCCAACAATGACAACGAGGGGCACCCAGGGGCCACAATCAGCGAGCTTCATGCCGTAATGAAAGCTGGACTTCAGATGCGACCGAATGTCATCTTGCTGCATATTGGCACGAACGATATGGCTCGCCCTGAAACCGCAGAAGAGAAGTGGGCAGATGCGCCGAAGCGATTAGCAACGCTGCTGGACGACGTGCTGGACGTGTGCCCGGACGCTGCGGTGCTGGTTGCGAAGATCATACAGGGAGCGGATATGCAGGCGCAGGAAAACATCAAGAGGTTTAATGATGCCGTGCCTGCGGTCGTGAAGAAGAAGCTTGATCAGGGCTTCAAGGTTGCGGTTGTCGACCACAGCGTCGTCCTACCCGAGGAATTGGTCGACGGGGTGCATCCGTGGGTATTCCACGATTATCCGTGGCGTAGAAGCACGTTTGCTAATCGAATCAGGTCCTATTCCGGCTACTTTCATATGGGAAACATGTGGTTCGATGCTATCAAAGCTGCCAGTGGCCTAGGGGTCATAACACCGCCCGTCGCGTTACACAAGACATAACCCGCGAAGATCACACGCGTTCAAAGCCGACAACTTGCAACACTACCTACCATATCGAGCTTCACGAGACACAATACTCTCTGACAGTGGTGGCAAGACACACACTGCCTCTCAAGTTGCACAGATATCTCACATGCGAGCTTGATTTCCGCTAGGCAATCAAGATTGTCAGACCGAGCACGACGCAAGAACGAGCGCGCATGGCACTACGACCACGCTACAGGCGACTCCGTCCGGACCAGTCCTTACCAATAGAATGCAATTCGTCTTGCTTACTGTGCTACGCTCACGATTCAAGCCTGATCATGCCACTGCCATGCGTGAGTCGCATGCATCGGCCATACGCTCATTCGCTAGCCCCGACGGTGGAAATCTGCGCGGGGTCAACATGCGGGCAGGCGGGGCGCCCACGCTGCATCACGCTAAAGCATATCCAACCCCAACCATGGAAGTTTGCCCTTCTCACAGAAGGCGTGATCACTTTTTGCATGTCCGCAATATCTGCAAAGACGCCTAAGTGGAATGACAGATGCTGTGGAACACGACAATCTGGTTTCTAGGGCCTCGCGGTTAGTCGGCTAGAATTGTCAAACGCTTTTGGCAAGTCTTCTTGACAGCTCTGCATATATGGCGTCGGATATGCTTTGGCGAGCTGCTGCCGCTATGGCAGCGACGGATGACTACGCGTTGTAGTGCATGTAGCGTCATGGTCACAGGGATCGGTCGGCTTTGGTATATCTCAATCGTCGTGCGGTTCGGTTTTTGGTCAGCCTTACTCCATTTGTGTCAGCTTGGTTGCTGCTTTCTGTTCTTTCCGACTCTTCGTTAGAAGAACGACTGAATAGAGACCTCACCTCACCATGGGTTTCGTAGACGAGGATCGCGTTCGCCTGGTCGCGATCTGGGCACCCGCTGCAGTACGTCTTTCAGCTCTCCTCTTGACATTGATCTGATAAGCCCAGTTCGTCGCATATGTAGTCTTGACGGCAATCTACAACCTCACATTTCACCCTCTTGCCAAATATCCTGGCCCGCTGCTATGGCGCGTCTCGCCCATTCCCTCGATCATCTCCCTGTTACGCGGCCGCATAGCCTTCGACTACAAGGTCCACCACGACAAATACGGGCCCGTGGTGCGCGTCATGCCCAATGAGCTCTCCTTCAATACAGCAAAAGCATGGGACGATATCTACGGCCATCGAGTCGGGCTTGCGAACATGGACAAAGATCCTATTCACGTCGGTGCTGTCGAAGCGATTCCAGGTGCGACGAATTTGACCATGGCTTCTGATATCCACCATGCAAGGCAGAGGAGAGCG